CACTCTTTTATTAGTGGAAAATTCTTCTAATATTCAGTTGCCTTCGAACAGATTGCGAGTTGGATTGTATATTTCGGTTATCATTCTTACAACTTTTAACCGGCGAGACGATAGCAACAAACCGCTCAGCAACAAACTTTTTCCTTTATATTTCCACCTACTTCTAGGGCCCATATCTTTGTTATCTAGAAAGATAGCGAAAAACTAAGTACACGGTTGGAAAGCTTGGTCTTTTCTCTATTATAAACCGAGTTTAAACCGAAACTTTCGTCCGCCGATATGTTGATAATAAGAGCAAGAAAAAATAAGAAACTTCGCGCTGCATTCAATTTACCTCAGAATTACCAAACTTCACGTCCTTGTGCAGCCGTTACCAGATGGAAATTCAATAAATGGTTTACATATTCGGAAAGAGCTGACTTTGGAGTATCTTATTCGGAGTTTTCGTCCGCCAATATCTATCAGCGTCTGTAAGAAAAACGCACCTGAAAAAGCCCCTACCGATGAAAACACGCAAATATTTCTTGCACTAATAACTTTCCTATTTGACAGGGAGAAAACTCTACAACTATATTCAGCTTATGGGAAATTTTCTGCTCTTTCCAACAGTGTGCGATGCACTTCGCTTACGCATTTTCATACGCGTTTTTTAAATTGATAAACTAAATAACTGAAAATGCAAACTTTGGTAACGTTACCAGATTCAAAACCATCAAAACACAATTTCAGATTCTGATGAAAATAGGTGTAACATGAAATAATCTTTGCGTTTTGAACAGTTTAACATGTACGTTTAGAAACGTAACACTAAAACTAGAACTAACACTAGACCTAGAACTAGAAACTTTCGGGTTCGCTTCGAACTTGTTTTCTGAAGAAGGTTGCAAATGACAAATTATCTGTCAACATGAAATGAAGTTAGGATTCTCTCTCGGGTAAAACTTTGTCCGAATTTTTCCTTCATCAAATAAGAAAGTTAGGATAAGAAGTGATTGCGTTCTGCTACCTGTAGGTTGTCTTTCAGGTGTGTTTCTTTTACAGACGCCGGCAGATATTGCCGGACGAAAACTCGAAATAAGACAGGCTAAGGTTAGCTTTTTTCGAATATGTAATAGTACACCATTTGTTGAATTTCCTTCTGATAACGGCTGCACAAAGCCTTAAAGTGGGGCAATTTTGAGGTGATTTAAATGTAGTGTGTTGTTTCTTATTTTTTTCTGCTCTTATTATTAATATATCGGCGGACGAAAACATGGTTTAAGATATAGAAAAGACCAAACTTTCCAACCGTGTGCTTAGTTTTTCGCTATCTTTCTAGATAACGAAAATATTGGCCCGAAAAGTAGACGGAAATACAAGGGAAAAGTTTGTTGCTGGGCTGAAAAACGATTGTGCAAACGTGTGATTGAGATGTGTTATACACAGATGAAAAGAGCAGAAAATTTCCCATAGGATGAATATAGTTCTAGAGTTTCCTCCCCGTCATATAAGAGAGTTATTGACTCAAGCGTGGTTTAGCCGCGGCAAAAATTCGTGGCAGCGCAACGTTTCTTATTTTTTCTTGCTCTCATTACACTGTGGAACATTTTCGGGGTCATTGTCTGGGGGGTGAGAAATTCCAAGTCAGGATGAAAGTACTTGGCCAGTATAGTAAAACCTCCAAAGGGTTTGGCGTTCTCAGGCCAAACTTTTTTTTATGACCTTTTATATTTCTTTCCTTATCTTGATGTTTGTTTGCTTATTTTTTCAGTTATAACTCAAGAATCATTGATGATTTCTCATTTCATATAGTAATATAGTAGTACTATATTAGAGAGAGAGAACAATATTTATTTGAAATATAAAAATAATAACTATAACAAATACGAATAAATAAAAAAAATACATATATAAAACAAATATAAGATCAGTCCAAAATGGCTATAGACCTTCGGTTCCAATCGCGTATAATACAGAAAGGAAAGAAATATATGATGCACTACAACATATTTTAAAAATGGTTAACTACGCTAAACATATATTATGTGGCGCATATGCCGCGATTTAAAAGTTGTAGCATTGCTTTGCGGTTTTCGAAGCGACTATATAAAATATATGTGCTTTTTGTGCGATTGGTACACAAGATTTACCGGAGACCAATATGCATGCCACGAATGGAAACATAGAGAGCACAGCAGGTTAGAAGTGGCCAATATTATTCTGAACCTCTGGTGCCGAAAGAGAAGATATTGCTGCCTCCACTGCACATTAAACTTGGAATTGTTAAGAATTTCATCAAAACTGTCGCCAAACGAGATACAGTTTTCTTGTGTTTGAAATTAATTTACCCGAGACTCATCGAAAGTAAAATTAAAGAAGGTAGTTATAATAACAATTCATTTGTTCAATTTCGTGGAAAATTCCAACTTTTCCAAACATATTTCCCATGATTTTCTATCGCAATAAATTAATTTTTTCCGTCAGGCGTACTAAATGGTCCAGATATACGAAAGCTTATTAAAAGTGACGCATTCAACAATATTTTGAGTGAGGCTGAATTGGATGCTTGGAACGCAATTAAAAAAGTAATAGAAGGCTTGTTGGGAAGGCATCGTTCTAGCAACTACAATGTTTCTATCGCAAGGATGTTAACATCGTCTCGAAAATTCACTATTTACATCATCATCTGGACTACTTCAGCAGACAATTGGCCACTGAATCTGATGAACAAGGCGAATGCTACCATCAAGTTGCTATGCCATTTGAAATTAGATAATATCTATGAGATTTTTTTTCAAACTCATTTTAATAAAAAGCAAATCATAGATATAGAGGAAAACTGTCGCCGAGTGCAATACTTGCGGAAATTTGCTGGTGAAGTAGACATGTCTTCGAAGACATGGATTATCCTGATGATGAAGAATTTAAAGAAGTTGCAGTAGGGTCAGCAGTGGAGTCACAAGTTGACATTATGTGTGGCTTAGAAACTGATGACAGCGATGATTGCGAAAGCGAGCTAGCCCACAACAATCACCATCGAAAAGGCCTAGACTCTAGAGCAATGTTTATGAACATATAAGCTTTGTTCTTCTTTAAACTAAGTTTGTCCTTAATTTTTGTTAATTTTCATAAAATCAATACTCTTCGGGCAGGAAGACTCAGGTCTATAGCCCTTTTGGACTTATCTTATATTTGTTCTATATAATATATAGAACACATATTACATATATAGACTACATATTATGTATTCTTTTTATTTATTCGTATTTGTTATAGTTATTATTTTTTAATTTTATTGATTTAACAATTTTTTTAAGATTTCAGTCGATAAAATTAGTCCAACTTAATTTTTTACATGGATATGTTAATGAAAATTATTTTTTTAAGCCTTAGCTAAGCCTTAGTCTTTGCTGAAGAATGAAATGAAAAATCATCAATGATTCTTGAGTTATAACTGAAAAACTAAGCAAACAAACATCAAGATAAGGAAAGAAATACAAAAGGTCATTAAAAAAAAGTTTGGCCTGAGAACGTCAAACCCTTAGGAGGTTTTACTATATAGAGCTAGTACTTTGACCCTGACTTAAAATTTTTCACCCCCCAGAATGGCTGTTGCACTGTGTTATCAACATATCGGCGGACGAAAACTCGGTTTAAGATAGAGAAACGACTAAGCTTTCCAACCGTATGCTTAATTTTCCGCTAGCGTTATAAATAACAAAGATATCCGTCCGAAAAGTACATAGATGGAAATACAAAAGTAAAGTTTGTTGCCAACTGTAGACTCTTTTTCAGGAGCATTTTTTTATAGACGCCGACAGATATTGACGGATGAAAACTCGGAATAAGATAGTCCAAGGTCAGCTCTTTCCGAATATGTAAACCATTTATTGAATTTCCATCTGGTAACGGCTGCACAAGGCCGTGAAGTTTGATAATTTTGAGGTAATTTGAATGCAGCGAGACGTTTCTTATTTTTTCTTGCTCTTATTATCAACATATCGGCGGACGAAAACTCGGTTTAAGATAGAGAAAAGACCAAGCTTTCCAACCGTGTGCTTAATTTTCCGCTAGCGTTATAAATAACAAAGATATCCGTCCGAAAAGTACATAGATGGAAATACAAAAGTAAAGTTTGTTGCCAACTGTAGGCTCTTTTTCAGAAGCGATTTTTTTCCAGACGCCGACAGATATTGACGGACGAAAACTCGGAATAAGATAGTCCAAGGTCAGCTCTTTCCGAATATGTAATCCATTTATTGAATTTCCATCTGGTAACGGTTTTCAACACGTCTTCTTACACATACCTAGTTTGTTCCGTGGTACACTATCAAAATCTGTACTTACTGCAATCATTTATCACTTTTCTGTGTATAGGCACTATTTGAGCTATTTGCCAATGTTGTGGTATTCTTTCTTCTTTCCAGGCTTTATTACAAATTTTATACAGTAACTCGATCGCTGCCTCTCCCGCATTCTTCACCATTTCCACTGTGATACAAACAATCTTTTTGACTGCCCTTCCCAACTTTAATACACGATTTCACGATGTTTTTAAAACGATATGTTTTAGGGGAAAGGTCTTCAATTAATGTGATGATAATTGATCCTTTTATCTTTTATGTTCTTAGTTCTGCGTTATTTTATTTTGTATTCCTGTTTTATATCCGCAGAACACCCAGCTCTCTATTTTCTCAGATTATTCTGCAATATTATATCGCATACTTTCTTTGCTGCTTCAGCAGTAACTGTCTTAAATACTTAGACTTTCATTTTCGGTGGGTGTTAACATTGCAATTTCGACAAGCTTATGCGGTTTAATTTATTAACTAATCTTTCTATACAATAAAACCTGAATGATGATCAAAATGAATGATCGAGATTAAATCTTAATCCAAAAATTATTTGAATTATTTTTTTCAATTTTGTTTACATAATTAATGATAAGATATGCTAAATTATATGCTAAAATTCAGCTTTATTTTTAGCAACAATACATTGAAATTGAAATTTATATTTACCTTGCTAAAGTGTTTTGCATGTTGACAGAATAATACCTCTCCTCGTTCAATTCTTTTTCCAATTTTCCAACCGTTTCTTTTATACTTTCGTAAGCTTGTTGGTCGGTTTCAATAGTTTTCTTTAATTTACGGTATTCTGTTTCCGTTTTCTCCCATTCTGATTCAGTATTTTCCAAGTTTTTCTTGACAATTTTTATTTCAGTATCTGCAGATTGCTACAAACAAATACAACGAAAATAACAATACCATTATTTTTTTGAATTAGGGTTTATAAAGTAGGTTAGTAAGAACTAAAATTAAAAGAAAGGATTAAAAATAAGAAAATTCGGGTTAGTCACAATCAAAAGTAATAATTACAAAACTAATTAAATGAGATAGGATGGAGTTTTTTAAATAAAAGAAATTCCCAAGAAATGCTTCCTAAAAATTTATTTCTCAACGAAAAATATATTAATTAATAAAATAATTAAATCAAAAACATATAAACTTAAAATTGTAATAAAATAACAGGATCGAAAGTAAGATTTTTTGAAATTTGGATTGAATCAACTCACAATTCGATCGCGTAAATTAAAAATCTCTTTCTCCGAATCATTTTTATTCTTTTTTAGCTCACTCGACATCTCCTCGACTTCTTCAATCAAACGTTTTATTTTAACCTCTTTATTATTCAACTCCAAACGGTTACATTCCAATTCCCATTCTAATTGTTTCACTTTTTCACCTAACACCTCCTTTTCTTGATGCGCTCTCCGACGTTCAGCTCCTTCTTCGGCGGCTTGCCTACTCAAACGACCCACCTAAATAATAATTATAATCACAAATAAAAACTTTTAAATCAATGTCTTTAAAACAGTTGCATAATTTTCTTAAAAATAATGAAACTGCTTTGAAGCTGAGAATAAATATTTTAAATCACTATATACTTGTGTTTCTAATGACGCGATCTTATCACTCCACGATGTTTTTATATCAGCTAAATGTAAATGGGCCTCCTCCAGACGCTGTTCCAATAGTTTACGTTCGACAGCAAAAGCATCGCTATTCGAATCTTGAGCAGCTCTCTCTCGGAACACCGCCACCAAATCCGATAAGTGTCGTCGATCCTCTTCGCTTTTTGATAATTCTGATGCCATCGTGGATAAATCGCGTGCACTAGAGTGTCTTAAGCTTTCTAAATCGTCCTAAAAATAAAATTTTATTCAAACGAAACTTATTGAATCATTTCAAGTTTTTTGGAGGTTCCTACATTTGTATGAAAGGGAACAATAATGTAAATGGATAAAATATAAAAATAAAAATATATTTATATAGCAATAAAGCACATACCTTTTAAAACGAAGGAGATTTTTTTCAGCAACGAAGCCCACAAAACATTCATTTCTTTGTGATTTACAGAGTAAACTACATAACTACACGACTATTTTAAATTGTACTTTTCATCAAATATACAGGTTGTCTTGCACAAACAGAAATGTTCAAACCCATATCTTTTTTATTTATTATTCTATAAATATTTTACATATCAGTATAAGAATTAATCATGTCTGTATTATTTAGGGATAATTAGACTTAATGAATAAATAGTATAATAAAGGAAAAAGATTGGGGTGTTTTTCTAAGATAACCTGTACAACGATTAATTTATATATAAATAAATTTTAATTCGGAATATAATTTTTCTAATCAACTTTCTGTTTTGAGATATCCATGTATTTTTATTATTCGGCAGTATAATTAGTTTTAATTATTAATGTAATACTTTTCATACTCCATGATGATTCGTGTACAAATATATTTCTATAAGTATGTTATTCCTCGGGGAAGCCCCTACAGGACACGTTCCCAGCTGGCTGATAAGGGAATACCTCTCAGATAGAAGTAATAGGAGGGAAATCAAATGTCTGACCCAAAGTGGCTAAATACAAAACAGTGAAGGTAACGGGAAATCACACTGTTAACATTTCCCAGGATATTGCTATGGCGAGGAAAAGAAATGTCACGGTCCCTAGTCCCGGGCGGCCCTTTGGGGGGCAAAGGGTGATAAGAATCTTCTTGCTCAAAATAGCAAAATCTACTGTTCGGATAGGCACTATGAAAACCTTTATGATGTTGAAAAATTCGAAAACCTTGCTCAAGAAACTAAACGCTTGAAATTGTCTCAATCATGCGCGTGAGTGATACGTGCGATGGCAATGATTCAAGAAAATGCAGACACGAAGACAGTACATATAATAATAAGAATAATACTTTATTGTGTTACTAAGCTACTGCTCTTACACTGGTCCAAATAAATACATCCAATTTTCAATACATTTTCTTATTTAATAAATACACTAGCGTAAACAAAAATCAAGAGCGTATGGTGGTTACAATCCCATCCCTGCATTCAGGAACTCCTGCACAGAATAAAATGTTTTCTGACACAAAATCTTTTGTAAGCTACCTTTAAAAATCCTTCTATTAGACTCTCCTATTAATTCAATCGGCAGCTTGTTAAGTACCACTCGAGATAAGTACTCTGCCCAAGCTGTGTTTTGGATAAACGGCAGTAATTGTTATAAATTTTATTCTTATTCCTAGTATCATGCTCATGAATATCGGCATGTATCGTAAAATGTCCCCTGTTATCAAAAGCATATAGAGCGCATTCGAGAATAAAAAGTGAGGGTAGAATTAAAATCTTTAATCTATTAAAAACATCTCGGCAGTCTTCTGTGTACCCAAGACCCCCCCCCACTACTCCCACCGCTCTCCGTTGCAGTGTAAAGATATATGCACTGCTTGGACTGCTACACCACGTAAGTATTGAATATGACAACAAGGAATGAATCAGTGCATAATACGCGCTATATACCGCCTCTTGAGTTACCTCCGTTTTTAGCTGCCTTAGTATAAAGATGTTTCTACTGATCTTACTTCCCAATTCACTTTTTTAATGTGAAAAGAGTTTTAACTGTTTTGTTGTTATTTAAACAAAGTTTATTAACAGCACACCAATACTCTGCTCGCAATAGCTAACGCATGTTCAGCCCTATCCAAAACCTCGCCATAATTATCCCCTTTTAAAACAAGGGTTGCATCATCGGCATACCATAAGCAATGCACTTCTTATCCCAGATAGGTAGGGAAGTAATTGAAAAATAAAAGAAATAACAATGGCCCCAATATGGAGCCTTGAGGAATTCCCATTTTTAAATTGCGCTTACCAGACACAGCTTCCGCACCCCTGACCTGCTGTGACCTGTCACTCAAATAAGATTTAATTAGTTTGACACTTTATCCATCAAAATTGTAAAAATGTACAATTTTTTTTTTGTAATTATGACCATAAAACCGGTAATTTGCCATTGCTTAAATAAAAAAATTAAAATGTGACATACTTACTCTCTCAATGATGTAAAATACAACAATCTGCTCCTTGGCCGTGTATGTAATACTATTTTCAATTATTTCAATATTGTTCTATAGTCTGTAGGAATTGAGAACTCATCTGAACTAGTAATGAGCAGTTTTCAATTAACACCTCTCAAAAACGATCGACAAGCGCTTGCTCATCTACAATTTTGTCGATGTCATTTGTTGACAATGATTCGGCTGTTATATCTAAAAAACGGAAAACGAATGCTAACAGAAATTTAGAAAACTTTATTGTTCGAACGCATATTGATAAAAAACAAGAAATAGATAAACAAATTGCAAGAGCTGTATTTACAACAAATAGCAGCTTTAGACGTATGGACAACCCGCAACTGAAGAAGACAATTGAATTGTTAACGCCTGGTTATAATCCCCCTTCTGGCACAATAATTTCTACGACATTTTTGGAACAAATTTATGAAGAAGAGAAAACTAAATGTTGTGGAAGTCTTTCTGGATGTGGCGTAAACATATCTATTGATGGGTGGTCTAATGCACTCTTTTTTATATGCAACTATACATACATCCGGAAATCCCCATAGAAGTCACTATTAAACTGATATTGCTTGCAATATAATTTTCTCGTATAAATCAAAATACAACTGTAACGTGACATCATTTGTAACAGATAATGCTGCAAATGTCGCAATAATGAGAAGAACCATACAAAAGAAATTGGACCCCATCGTTTCAGTGATAACTTATGGGTGTTCACCTCACCTTCTAAACCTGCTTTGCAAAGATTTAGAAGTAACAAATATCAAAGAGCACATTACACAAATTATAAAATATTTTAGAAATAACCAATTAGCTAGGGCCAAGAGACAACTTGATTGAAAAGCATTAGTGCTGCCAAGTGATGTAAGATGGAATACTATGGCAGATTGTTTGGATGTATACAGTGCTAGCGTAAAGTAACCCCCCCCCTTTTTTTTTAACATCTGGACAGATTGAGATATCAATACGAACAAAAAAACGTCAGTTTCTATATTTTATCACCACATATTTTCTTATGGAAAATTTTGTTATCACTTTTGTCGGGAAAAAACCAACGTATTTTCGTTGACTACCTGTCGAGATACAATGGGCCAGGTAAATGGTGGACGGTCAGTTAAAGGTCGTTCATCAAGACGGAGCACCTCCACATTATGCGGCAATGGTAAGAAATTATCTTGATACAAATTTTAATGGACGGTGGATCGGTCGACGGGGGCCGATTTAATGACCAGCAAGATCACCAGATCTGACACCCTTAGATTTCTTTTTATGGGATTATTTAAAATCCAAGGTATATGAAATTCCGCTGGATAATATTGACGATTTAAAACAAAAAATTATTGACGTCTGCCAAAATATTGATCATCACATGTTAAGCCGTGTGAGAGAGGAAACACTACAAAGATGGTACCTCTGCTAAGAAGTTCAGGATAATCATATCGAACAATTTATTTAATAGTTTGTTCTTAATAAATAAAAAATTCTTTTATTATTCAATAACAACACTAAGGCCCACTACTACCACTCATAGTTAAAGTCTCTGATAGCGTTATCTATCGGATAGCTTAAAAATTGGTTACTACCACTGTATTTATCTTATAGATACCGCTATCCAAGGGATAACTTATGAAATATCTGTAACCCGTGGATTGGGTGTCGGATAAGTTGCTATCTAAGGGATAAATGCGGATACCTAACCTCAAATAGGCTGACGTATAAAATTCGAGCGTTTTACTATTTTAGTTAAAATAAGAAAAGTAATATAAACTTAAATAAAAAACTATTAATAATTAATATTAGATAAAATCATCATGGATAATTTCTTCAACATTGGAGATGAAGAACACATTTTTGAAGAAATTAATGAATTATTTCCTATAAGAAGCGAAAGGATAATAAGGTTTAGAGTTGACCATTCAGATGTTGAATTTATGGCGAGATTTCGTCTCTCGAAAAAAAGTTTTCATCACCTTTTGAATCAAATAGAAGATGTAATAAAACCTCCATCCATGACGTAAGTAATTTGTTAATTGTTATTATTTAATATAAAATTCATAAATATTTTAGTAATAATGCTGTACCTCCTTCAAATCGTTTGTTGCTGACTCTTCGGTTTTATGCAACAGGTAACATGTTACAGTATGTTGTATCCATAGCAGATTTTGCAGGAGTGAGTGTACAATTGGCATCTTCAGTCGTTCATCATGTTAGTTGTGCCATTGCAAACTTAAGACCGCAATATTGTAGAATGCCGGAAGGTAATGAAATCGCAAATGCACAAAGGCAGTTTTATGATACTACCCGGTTTCCGTTTGTTATTGGTGCAATTGACTGTACCCATATAAGAATTCAATCCCCTGGTATGTAATACAAACATTTAGTATTAATTTTGTTTAAATATAGTCATCACTATTAATATTTTAGGTGGATTCACAGCGGAAAATTATCGCAATAGAAAGGGTTACTTTTCTATCAATGTTCAGACAGTATCTGACGATAAGATGCGAATCATTGACATCGTAGCTAGGTAGCCCGGATCAACACATGATCAAACAATATTTAATAATAGTACATTAAAATATCGTTTAGAAAACGGTGATTTTGGAAATGGATTACTATTGGGAGATGATGGATACCAAAACAAGTAATAAAATTTAAAATATTAGTATGATTTGTACATTTTTCAATTGCTGTAGGAATTATTTATTGGTACCACTCGAACAACCAAGGCGCGACGCAGAAAGGCTGTATAATGAAGCTCAAATAA